TTACATATATATATATATTTGTCATAATTCCCATGTCAGTACATAACTGTTACAATTTACCTTTTGAAGTTTCAAAATCTTCAGAATAACAGTAATTCCTGGTTTTTGAAGGATGTTTTAGAGTGCTGGGTAAGTACGTGTTGGCAACTTTTTGGAGTGGTATTCATTTTTCCTGAGAGAAGTCATACCTTGTTTTTGATGATTTTATCTTGATTCGTTTCATTTTATTCAAGGCCTGCGCCACTGTTGAAGAATGTCCAGTTATCAGAATCCAAGGCCCGGGAATTGTATCTGCAGGTCATTCAGTACATGAGGAGAATGTATCAGGATGCCAGACTTGTCCATGCAGATCTCAGTGAATTTAACATGCTGTGAGTGCGTTTAGTCTCTTAGAAACTTTGTCAGTCATTTCGTGTCCTTTAAAACAATCAGATCTCAATCCACAAAGTCATACTGTATTCTGAAGTTGTTAAACTGTCTTCCCCATGGTAGGAGTTTAAGATGTGTTACCTGTCTTCAGTGACCTTGGTCACAGAATAGTCACAGGCACTTTGGAGGACAGGTTGTAGCTTGGTTAGTAGAGCAGTTGCCTAGCATGTGTGAGCCCCTTGCATTTTGTGGTGTGCTGTGTTTAAAGGTTGGTGAGGATCAGGGGAGACCATTTTGAGCAGTTAATGGGCTTTGGAAATTTTCTCAGTTTTCTCAGTTTTTCATCTCATTAGTCAAGATGGTCCTCTCTTACTTGCCTTGGTTATTTTATCATAGGGTGAATTTTTTGTTTTAAGCCAGGTGTGGGTGGCACATGTCTATAATCTCAGCACTTAGGAGGATGAGGAAAGAGGATTGGGGGGGGGGGGGGGGTTTGAAGTTTGAAGCTAGCCTGTGCTACGTAGAGAGACCCTGTATTAAACGAGAATAGAATTTGTTTGGGGGGGGTTCTTTTTGAGACAGGGTCTTCCTATAGCTCTAGCTGGCCTGGGACTTACTATGTAGACCAGGTTGGCCTTGAACTTACAGAGATCCACCTGCCTCTGCCTCAGAGCTGGGATTAAAGGCATCTGCCACCACGCCTGACTGAGAATAGATTTTTTTTAGACAGAAAACAGTAGCCTCATAGCATGTGTGTTTATTGCCCTCAAGGTACCATGATGGAGATGTGTATATCATCGATGTTTCTCAGTCAGTGGAGCATGACCACCCACATGCACTGGAGTTCTTGAGAAAAGACTGTGCCAACGTCAATGGTAAGAACAAAATGGAGTTCTCTAAGAGCTTGTTTGTGTCTGCTTTGTTCTTGCTGAAGCTATTGGATAAAGTCTTGATGCCAGAACTAGGCATGTAGTTTGGTAGAGCACTTGCCAAGCACATGTGAGGCCCTGTATTTGATCCCCAATGCTGACAAATCTTGTTACTAAATTTCTGAGTACAGTGGCACTTAGCCATTTACTGGTAGATTATACATATTTTTATCTGTTTTTTTTCTGTTTATAGTTGGAATAACAACTCTGTCCTTTGTAAAGCTGTCATTAATGTTTTTCCTTCTGATAGATTTCTTTTTGAAGCATGCAGTTGCCGTGATGACTGTGCGGGAGCTCTTTGAGTTTGTCACAGACCCTTCCATCACAGCTGAGAACATGGATGCTTACCTCTCAAAGGTCAGGTGGGATGAGGAATGCAAGAAGTGGGGCTTGGTTTGTGTGGCCCATCTGAGGGCTGAAGGTTGCCTAGTGTTGTTACTCATCTTGACAGGTTCTTAAAACTTTTGATTTCACAGTGATATTTAAAATTCAGCAAAGAAGCCAGTAGTAAAGCTACTGGACTAGGATTCCAGAGATGTCAACCTTCATGAATGTTTAATATGAAAAACTGGCAGGTTTGGTTTATCATCAGTTCTCATATTTTGCAGAGGCCATTCCTAAATCAATAGAATTTTAAAAGTTGTAGTAAAATATGCTGACATTAGGTGCTCCACTTTAAATGAATTGAAATTATTGTGGATACTGCTAAATTTGCATATTCCGAACTTTTTTGCAATCATCGCAGACAGAAATTGTGCCCATCTTTACAACTTCCCAGCTCTTGGCAATTACCATTCTGCTTTCTGTAAATTCAGCTACTCTTGGTGCTACTTACAAGTAAAATCAACTGCTGTTTGTCTTTATTTTTGGTTTTTCAAAAAAATTTTTGTTATCTTTTGGGGGATTTTATATATATTTTTTTAATTTACTTTTTAAAAATATGTGTATGAGTGTATTACCTGCATGTATATAAGTTCACTTGTGTTGTGCAATGCCTGAGGAGATCAGAAGAGGGCATTGGATCCCCTGAACTGGAGTTGGTTGTAAGCTACCATGTGGGAACCAAGCCCGGGTCCTCTGCAAAAGTGGCCTGTGCCTTTAACTGCTAAGCCACCTTTCCAGTGCCTAATTTTTTAAAAAATGTATGTGAATGTTTGCCTGCATTTACATATGTGTGCCATGTGTATGTTCATTACCTTTGGAGGCCAGAAGAAGGTGCTGGGTCTCTTGTAAGAAGGTGTTGGATCCCCTGGAACTGGAGTGATAGACAGTTGTGAGATGCCACATGAGTGTTGGGAATCAAAACCAGGTCCTTTTCAAAAGCAGCCAGTGCTCTTAACCACTGAGCTCTCCAGCTCTTTTATTTATTTTTTATTTATTGTACATGTGTGTTTATGTAAATATATGCCATATGTATGCCATTGCCTTTAGAAGCCAGAGGAGGGCATTGGATCACGTGTGCCTGGAGTTATAGGTGGTTGTGCAGTGCCCAATGTGGGTAACTGGTAACTGATCTCTGTTCCTCCGAAAGAGCAGCAAATGCTGAGCCATCTCTTCAGCTGTTTGTCTTTTTGTGGCTAGTTTCTTTTAGCATGGGGCGGGGGGTCCATCCATGTTCTAGCATGTGACATGATTTCTTTCCTTATTTAAAGCTGAATAATATTCCATTCAGTGTGTACCATATTCTGTGTATCTTTTCATCTGTTGATGGATGCTTGAGATTGCATCCACCTGTTTCGATCATAGTGAATAATACTTCTACAAACATGAACATATAAACATCTCTTCATGCTTTGAGGAGCCTGTAGTTGCCTGCAGTAGCTGCACCATTTTGCACTTCTGTCATCAGTGTGCCAAAGCTTCACTTTCTCTGCATCCTAGTCTGCATTGTCCTCTGTCATCTGGGGAGTAGCTGTCCTAATGGGTGAAGTGGCATCTCATGACTTTGATGTTTATTTCTCTAGTAATAAGTGGCATCAAATATCTTTTCATGTTTCTCTTTGGAGAAATGTCTATTCAGATCTTGTGCCTATATGAGCTATTTATCAGACCTCTTTTGAGTTACAGAGTCCCTGTTCCATGCATTGCTTTCTTACCATGCGGCTTGCATCCATTGGTCCCCAAACAGAAGTTTTGCATTTTGATGTAGTCCAGTGTGTTTTCACCCTTCTGACTTCTGATCACAGGATTTTGAACAAATGACATATATATTCCAATATGGGTTTTCAGGTTTGATACTATTTTTTCGTATTTTTCCTTTTCCCTAGAGTGCCTTTCCCATCTCTGCTCATCTTGCTGGGCCTAGAACTCAATTCAGAAAGCTTTCTCAGAGGGAAATTCAACAAAGTTACTGTTTTTAGAGACATATTTCATATATACATATAAATATTTTTTATTGAGCTTTTGTACATTTCATATAACAGTTCTTAATCAAAATTAGATCCCATCCCCCATCCATGCTCCCAGTACTTTTTTTTCTGGACGCATAGTGTCATGTATTCCAGGCAGCCTTCAATTGTATGTAGCCAAGGATGACCTTGCATTTCTGATCCTCCTACCTCCACCTGCTGATTGCTGAGATTACAGCTTGTACCAGTACACCCAGTTTATACAGTGCTGGGGATCAAACCAGCAGCTTAGTGCATGCTGTGCAACCGCTCTGACATTGAGCAGCCCGTTTTTCCATGTTTTATAGTTATGGTAAGAGATAGTCACACTGTTAACTTCTTACTCCAGGTTTTTAGTTTTTGTTTGTTTTTGTGAAATTTCTGTTATTTTTTTGAGATAGAGTCCTCCTATGTATTCCAGGCTGACTTGAGCTGTGATCCTCCTGCATCTACCTCCCAAGTGCTAGGATCACAGGCATGTACTATCATGCTTGACTAGATAATGAACTCTTAAGGGACACATGAGTTTTATTTGTGTGTTGACAATACTGACTACATACTTGGCATTTAGTAGGCAGTTAGTTGCATGTGCTGATTGAATAGCTTATCACAGAATTTTTAGTCCTAAACCATTAGTACTGATTCTAGTATCTGTTATTTAAAAATGAAACAGAAAATGAGTATTCTTTCTTCCTGTATATTTCAACTAGTGAGCAGACCTTTCTTTTATAGTTTATAAGCCAAGAGAACTCTGTATAGAATTGTCACCTTTTTACTTTCTTGTTTGCTCAAAGACCTTTCTTGGGTGATTTAGCAACATTAGAGCTATATCCTTTGCTTCCTTATGATTCACTTTACTGTCTCTCCAAGAACCAAGAAATGGTTCTTTATTTGAGTCTTGATAATTTTTTAAAAAAATGATTGCCTTGGATATGAGTTTGGGTGTGGATGTGGATGTGATTCTAGGGATGGAACCCAGGGCCTTGTACATCCTAGGCAGGTGCTCTACCACTGAACTACAACCCTAGTATTGATTTTAAAGACGGTAGCTAAAGATATCTTCAGACCCAAAGAGTTTTTTTGTTTTGAAATGATTGATAAGTCTGTGGAGAGCCTGCCCACACTATAGAAATTCACCATAATCCTATTGTAAGTATGAAGAAAGCTATGAAGAAAGATAAAGCTCAGAAGTTCATCACAGAATGGGAATTGTAGCTTCTCTAGGTTGGATGTAAAGGAAAGTAATTTTTGCTTTCTTTCAAAGGCTATGGAAATAGCATCCCAAAGGACCAAGGAAGAAAAGACTAGCCAAGATCATGTGGATGAAGAGGTGGGATTATTATTTATTCACAGTCTTAGGAAATACTTGTGGTATTGTTGTGTACTACGCCATTTTTTGTTTTGAGGCACAGTCTCCTCATGTAGCCTGGGCTGACCTGAAACTTGATGTGTAGCACAGACTGGCCTCACACTCATTTGTCCTGCTTCAGCTTCCTGAGTGCCAAGATTGCAGGTCTGTGCCACTATTCCCAACTAATACTTGTGTAATGGGTTTTTTGTTTGTGTTTTATTTTTATTGGCGAAACATGAACTTGATTTTATAAAAATATGATACATACATACATAGAAATATGATACATAAATTGTTCCATTCAGCAAGTTTAAATGAGTTTTATAATGATTCTGTAAGTATTGCAGACTTTAACTATTGATACTTTGATTAAAAAATAAAGCAGTTTAGCCAGGAAGTCAAAGCATCTTTTGTAAGGTCTATAGCAGGCTTTTCAAAGATTCTGGCAGCTCATTGTGCTCGTCGATTCACAGAAGTTAGGGGGGTGATACACCTGTGCAAGAGCATGTGTGCTCCTTTGCTCAGAGCCAGGCAGTCTTGCTCACTGTAGCTCCTTCCTTCCCTCCTACTCAGAAGCTGCTTTCTGGAATGCATATGACTGGAAGGAGTGTTGTTCTAAGGAAACCTAGGAAAAGCTCCCTTTTTTCTTCCCTAAAGTGAATCTTTTTTGCCATGTGGAGTATGGTGGTCTCAGCAATAGGGAGACAGGCAGGCGAATGTCTGAGTTGGGGCCTGCCTGGTCTATAGAGTGAGTCTAGGTCAACCAGTACTATATAGTGAGAACTTGTCTCAAGGAAAAAAAAAAAAAATCACAGAAAAGATAATTATCATTATAGCAAATTGCTTTTAGCTCACCACACAGCAGACACAGCACCAGTAAGTGCACATAGATTGCTGAGAGTCAGCATTGGAGATGTAGTGTGTGCAGATTCTGCCATGGTTGATGGTGTGAGGGTACTGAGTGAATGTGAGAAGTATTGGAATAACAGTTTCCATTTTGTTTTTCCTCTGTTAGGTGTTCAAACGAGCATATATTCCTAGAACCTTGAATGAAGTAAAAAATTATGAGAGGGATATTGATATAATGATGAAGTTGAAGGAAGAGGACATGGCCTTGAATGCTCAGCAAGACAATGTAAGTACGTTGCTTTGTATATAGAACCAGTTCTGCCAAAGAGACCGTCCCTAACTTGGTCCTGGCTTTGAGCTGGCAAGATAGCTACCTCCCTTTGTATAAACATGCCTCCATACATCTTGTAAAGGAAAGTCTTACTGGTATTTCAGAGAAGTGATACATTTGAATACTTCAGAAGGCCATAGTTAAAGAAAAAGAGACATCCATAGAAAAGCCTTTGATATAAGTAGTTGTGCTGTGTCACCCACATTTCATGATTGTACATATCTGAGTAAGTTTTTATAAAGTTTTATTTTTAATTATGTGTGCATACAAGTGGGCACAGGTCAGAGGTGTTGGATCCCCTGTTTAACAAGAGAGAAAAAGATGTTCCCCAGATTTTAATGCATGAAGTCAAAGACACTTGAAAAACAAACCAAAAAAAACCCAAGCCAGCTGTAATCCAGCGATCAGGAGGCAGATGCAGGCCGATCTTTGTGAGTTCAAGGCAGCCTGGTCTACATAATGAGTTCCAGGTCAGCTGGGGCTTCAGGGAGATCCTGTCTCAAAAAAGACCAAAAAAAAAAAAAAATCCTTCAAGTCTTTAAAAAAATTACTTGTCGGGACAGGAGAGATGGCACAACAGTTAAGAGCACTGACTATTCTTATTCTTGCAGAAGTCCAGGGGATCTGATGACACCCTCTTCTGTCCGTCTAGGACATTGCACAATACAGGTTTGGATACATACACGCAATCCATGTATACACATAAAAATAAAATACTTAAAAAATTACTTCTCTCAGCCAGGTGTGGTAGCACATACCTTTGATCCCTGCTCTGGGGAGCCAGAGGCAGGCAAATCTGTGAGGTTCTGGGCCAGCTGGAATTGAACGCAGTCAGGCTTGCACAGTTAAGTGTCTTTATCTGCTGAGCTGTTTGGCCAGCCTAACCCTTTTTTTTTTTTTAATTTTATTATTTTTATGTGTATGCGTGTATTGCCTGCATGTAGGTAAGTGCACCCATGTTGTGCAATGCCTGTGGAGGTCAGAAGAGGCTGTCGGATTCCCTGGGACTGGAGTTACAGACAGTTGTTAGCTGCCATGTGGGTGCTGGGATTCAAACCCAGGTCTTCTGCAAGAACAACCAGTGTTCTTAACCACTGAGCAATCTCTCTAGCCCTCTAACAACACTTTTATTCTTGAAGATTTATTTATATGGATGTGCATATGTTGGTGTCAGTGTGAGTGTATGTGCCGGTGCCTGTAGAGACCAGAAGACAGTGTTGGATTCTTGAAGCTGGAGTTAACAGGTATTTCTGAGGCAACCAGCTTATGTACCAGGATCCAATTTCTGATCCTCATGATTGAGCAGCAAGCACTCTTAACTGCTGAGCCATCTTTCCAGCCCCCTAAAAGCATTTTTAATAATAATTAAATACAATTTTTGCAAATTTTTGACTGAAAAGACTAGAATGGGACTGTGACGTGGGTAACATTTCACTCAATGAGACTCAAAGTTTATGTGCATGGTTATAATTACCGAAGATACTGTTTAATACAGGGCTTAATAATGTAATGTGTGTATATAATGTCTATTTTTATGTTGATTCTTATTTTTTTTTTCTTTTGATTACAAGATTCTATATCAGACTGTCACAGGATTGAAAAAAGACTTGTCAGGAGTTCAAAAGGTATGAAGATCATGTGTTACTATTTGCTTATATGAAAACTTGGAAAAAAATATTTTTACCTGGGCATGGTAGCACATACCTTTAATTGGGAGACAGAGGCAGGTAGTTAGTTCAAGGCCAACTGCATAATGAGACCCTGTCTCAAAAAAATTTTAATTTTTAATTTTATTTTTTGTGTGTTTATATGTGTGTTTGTGTGAGAGAGGTTGTGTGCTCACATGCACATACATGTCTGCACATGTGCACCAAGTCTTACATGTGGTGAGCAGAAGACAACTTGTAAGAAGTTGGCTCTCCTTCCATCGTGGGTCCCTAGGATTGAACTCAGGTTGTTAGGCTTGTGGGGCAAGTGCCTTTATCTAGTGAGCCAGCTTGCTAGTCCTGCAAACTCTTTTAAAGAATATAAAACTTAATGCAAAACAGTTATTAGAATTAAATTTGGATGTGTATTTATTTTTTGTGTTGTACCTGAATTCTTCTGTTAAAGGTGAGACTTAAAAAAAAAAAATGCTGCCAGGTGTGGTGGTGCATGCCTTTAATCGCAGCACTCGGGAGGCCGAGGCAGGTGGATCTCTGTGAGTTCAAGGCCAGCCTGGTCTACATAGTGAGTTCCAGTACAGCTGGGGCTACAGGGAGACCCTGTCTCAAAAAGATCAAAAAAAATCCTGGTCTTCATTAGTTGGGGTAATTAGTGATAGCGTATACATTTTGATAGATTTTACAATCAGCTTTATAAAACAGTGTGGTCTTATAACAGTATATAACTTAATATCCTGGATATCAACCTCATGAGTTCAGTCCCTTTTTCAATTATTTTTCAATTTGTCTTAATTTCTTAAGTACTAGGATTACAAGTGTATGCCATCATATCTGGCTAAGATTTGGAGTCAAGGCCAGCCTACATTGCCCTAGTCAGGCATTTAATGCCCAGGCTCAAATCAGTCCTTCTGCCTTGGCCTCTTAAGCTACTTAGGACTGCAGGTATGTGGGTTTTTTTTGTTGTTGTTGTTCTTTTTGTTTTTTTTTTAATTCAATAGGAAGCAGTTTTTAAAAGAGCAACATTTTCTTTATTTAAACAGTTTCTTACTGGGTATGGTGGCTCATATCTGTAATCTCAGGACTCAGGGAGCAGAGGCAAGTAGATCACCGTGGGTTCAAGGCCATCTTAGGACAGAGAGAGTGACCTGGACACATACCAAAGAAAAAAAGAAATTTAAGAAACCAAAACTTTTGTTATAAAGGTCTAGCTGTTATAAAAAATCATCTTGCTATGAAATTCAAAATACAACTTTATACCTAGTATACGTAACTCAAAAACACAAAACACTGAAATTGTCCCAGTTCAGTTCTTCTTAGACATCCAATTTTCAAAAAGCAAACTATGATGTTTAATTTAAAAGAGAAAAAATCTACCTTTACTACTGCCTAAATTAGAATTACTTTACTCGTCTAAACAGTAAAGCAAAAAGAACAGGAATCTGGCACACTTAGACTACTAAAACTCAGTGTGGTCGTCTGTGCGTCGAATCCTGGTAATTGGGAGACTGAGGCAGGACTAATGCAGGTTTTATGTCAACCTGGGCTACATAATGACATCTTGTATTAAAAAAGAGAAGCAGGTTGGGCCTGGTTGCACATGCCTTTAATCCTAGCACTTGGGAGGCAGAAGCAGGCAGATCTCTGAGTTCAAGGCCAACCTGGTCTACATAACAAGTTCCAGGCCAGCTGGGGCTACAGGGAGACCCTGTCTCAAAAAAAAAGAGAAAGAAACAAAGTTAAATGAGCTAAATTTCAGGGAAAATGAATGAAAATTTCTCTTGGTTGACTATTCCTTTTGAGTAGATTAGCTTATTGCTAGAAATACGGTGCAGAGGAAAACAGTTGTGAAGTTGCCCAAACAGATCTTTTAAAAAAAAATTTTTAATCTGTATTTCACATCCAAATCCTAGCTCAACCTCCTGACTTGCTGAAAGCAGCAGCCAATATTTTCATCCATATAGCCCTCGTAATCAGGCGTGTCCAGCCTGTTTTTGTGGCAGACTGCAGCCTACCACATTTGTAGATAACATCACATCACATCAAAATGTCAAATGGTTGGATACCCCTGCTGGTTCTTTCCTTCGTGCCTGTTCTTGAGCACTGCTGGAGTGAATGAATGTCCCCGTCTTCCTGTCTTGTGTGGATTCTGATATTTTGATGTTTCAGTACATGACATTCTGTAAAGTATATCTGCCAGAATGAAATAAAAATTCTGACATTAACATTTTTACTGACAGTAGATAACTGACTTCAAGTAACATGGCTCTGTTATAACTTCTTGAAGGTCCCAGCACTCTTAGAAAACAAAGTTAAAGAAAAGACTTGTTCTGATTCAGAGGCTGCTGGAAGCTCTGAGTGCTCTGACACAGACTCTGAAGAGCAGGGGGACCATGCCTGCTCCAGAAAACACACTGCTGACCCTGACATTGATAAAAAGGTTAGCCAAGATTTTTAATTCCTCTTTTCTTCCGTGTGGTAGCTCCGATGATGGCTGCAACATTGGTGATGCCTCCAATTGTTGTTTCCAATAACTAAGCATGAACTCACTCTGCTTTGGGGGTAAAATTAGGGCTGCATTAGGTATTGCACAGACAGGGTGCCTTATATCTGTCTGCTAGAGACAAGTATTTTATATCTCCAACCTTTATTTCTGTTAAAATATGGAATGTGTGAACAGTGAGTAACATACACAAGGATATTGATTTGACTTCCTCCAGTTTTCTCTTAAAAACTCCAGGGACTGGCATATAGCTCAGTGGTAGGGAGGGGGATGAAGGGTGGGAGAGGGAAAAGAAGGTAACCTGCGTGGAGTGGCATGCGCCTGTGGTCCCAGCACTTGGGAAACCGAAGTTGGGGAGGAGGTCGTTTGCACTTCAGAAGTTTGAGAACAGTCTGTACAACAGAGTGAGACCCTCTTAAGGGAAGGGCAGAAGAAAGGGGGGGGCGGTGGGGGGTCAAGGTGGGAAACGGAAGAGAGAGAGCCTCAAATAATTTTTAACCTTCAGATTCTACTGCCAACATGTAATAGTTACTTTTTTTGTGCTACGTTCACTTTTATGCTTTTAACATATGCATTTTAACTTCTAATAATAATTTGAATATTTTGAATGAATGAAATTTGTTGGGGGTGGGTTGTTTGCCTTTTACAGGAAAGAAAAAAGATGGTCAAGGAGGCCCAGAGAGAGAAAAGGAAAAATAAAATTCCTAAACATGTGAAAAAAAGAAAGGAAAAGACGGCCAAGATCAAAAAAGGCAGATAGACTGAAGAGTTATGTGTGGACAGTCATCCTTCACCATCTTAAAATTAACGTAGAAGTGGCAGCTGGAGGATGGTTTCTTGACCGCATCTGAATCATCACTGTCTCATTGTCTGAGAAGACTGACTGAGGTGTAAAAAGCTCAGAGCCCAGAGTTCTGGGGTCCAGATCCAGTCACTGGCTCTGGTGTTAACTGGCTTATTTAAGGCACTATTTTAATGAAGAACTTTGTACATTTTATATTTTTTTATTCTGTAAACCTGTTTTCAGAGGCATCATAAATATTTAAATATGATGAACATCCACAGCCTTTATGTGAGTATAAAGGTACAAGAACAAACTTGGGAAAATCATTTGTTTTCTTTGCACATACCGAAGACACAACTGCAACATCACAACTGATATTATTAGGCCATGGCTTAGAGAACAGTTTCATCATAAGAGAAGCCGTGGCCATCGTGTCGTGTGGCCATCGTGTAAGGACAGCAGCTCCTTGGCATGCACTCCCACCTAATCCTCAAGGCTCCTTGGCATGCCCTCCCCCCTAATCCTCAAGGTTTTTTTTTTTTTTTTCCTCCAGACTAGGAGTTCTCCACTTATAAGCTGTTTCACATCCAGCCAAGTGGCATATTATTGATTTCAACTATTTGAGTCTATTAGGTGCTGGGATATAACAGTGAACAAAGTAAAAAAAATCACTTCCTTTGAGTAGTTTGTATTCTAGTAGGAAAAGGAAACACTAAATAACGTTAAGTGTGGGAGAAGCGGAGTCATACTGTGCTTCCTGGCACTCTGGAAGCTAAGTGGAAAGAGTCTAAGTTCAGGCCAGCCTGGGCTACTTGAGTGTGAGGATGCTAACAAAAAAGCTAAGTCATGCATGCCAGGAAGGAAGAATATTCCGGGCAAAGCAAACAGCCAGGGGAAAGGCCCTGAGGCAGAAGGATGCCTGTCCTGTTGTGAAAGGGGGCTGCAGCATTAGAATTTGGGGTGGAGAGCTGAAAATGTGCAGCTCAGTTTTGAGCAGAGGAGTGGTAGGATCAGACAGCTGCTCTAAACGCATTACTCTGGCCTCTGGAGAACTGATAGGAAGCAAAGGTGGAGGATAAATTGGGTGTGCTTTTTGTCATAACCCAGGTGAGGTGCTGGTGGCTTGGCCTAGGATGGTAGCAGTGGATGTGGAGAGAGTTGACTAAAAGAATAGATGAAGAGTAAGAGAGGAAAAGTGAGAATGACTTTAGGGCCTGGGACCTAAGAAGCCACTGGCACCACTGGAATTACGCACTGTGATGGGCCAGATGTGGACGCAGTAGACTTCGTGGCAGAGAAAGAAAATTATAACACACATGAAAAGTTTTCAATTTTTTTTAACCATTTTATGTTCGAAATGGCTATTTTGACCATTGCATTCAGAAGCTACTATATTTTGACCTTTAACTTACAACTGCATTCTTGATGGTAGGTTATAATGGAGAACCAGTCTAGCTTTGATCTTACGTTTAAAATATCCTCCCTTCCTGGCTTTAAAGTTCAGAACATGCTATGCAATTTCAACAAAATGCAAAAGTCATCCCTCGCAAAAAATTCTATAATTTACACAACAAAAGTGAAAGCAAACAGCAGCTCTGTGCACATTTGAAGCATTTAGCTTCCAGATCTTCTTATTCATGCATTTGTCTGACTCCAGCAGGTTGTGTCTGTATCTGGTGGCCAGCCTCAGCTATCTTTTGCTGCCTTATTCAGTTTCTCAGTTTGGAATTAAGTCCATTTGGCCCAGGCTAGCACAGGTTGGACTGAAGAACCACCTTTTTTCCAATACCCCTCACTGATGGGGCTGCTCCCAATGGACTTCTGGGCCCGGAGGCTGTAACTGTCGACCTCTAGAAGTGTTCTTGCCTAACATCCAAAGCTGCTGATCTTATTTCTGTGACTCCTGTGACCTGACCTGAAGCAGCTTAGGGAAGGCATGGGGGCAGCAGTAGCTGGTGGCTGTGGTAGTAGGATTGTGACGCTGCTTGGCCACTTTTGGGCAGATCAGGAAGCACAGCAGAGAAGTGAATGTAGGCACTCTACTGCCCCCACGCCCTTTATTGAGTCTGAGACCTCAGTCCATGGGGTGGTACTGCCCATGTTTAGAGTGGATCTTCCCTCCACAGTTACAGTGTCTCTCAAATTTTAAACACAGCCAAGTTGGCATTGAAGGTTAACTGTTAGAACCATATTTCCCTTGTGGTCATCTTTCTTTAGAAGACTTCGAAGAAGGAACCTAAGTATCAGGCTACTTAAGGGGCCTGCTTGTCTCATCACAGTTGATTTTAATTACGGGACAAGTTTTAGTGTTGTGGATTGACTCTTGGTTTTGTAGTAACTTTCCATTTGGAAAGATGAAGCTTTCATATTTTGCCCAAAAGTTGAGGACAGATTTTGTCAACTGTAGACTTAATGTGATCTTTCTGTGTTTTGATGTTTTTCTCATCTCTCCAAATAATACTGATGTTTCTAAAACTGTCTTATGAGAAACACAGAATGTCTTTGAAACACAAAAATCACAGCTCTTTACTATAATAATATTCTTTCAGTAAAGCAGTTAGGGACAAAAGTTGGCTCAGCCTAGAGGTGACATCATTTGAATTTGGTCTTTAGTGAAAAGACAGGAACAGTCAAGTTCGAGCTCTGCTTGGCTGACATTGGGTTTTCCTCAGCTCTGTAACCTGATGAAGATGCAGTCCAGGTGTTGGAAAGCTTTCTAGTTTGGCACTGAGAGTGAGACAGCCTCTCTTTTCCATGAGTATGCCATTTAATTCTGTGCTGGGATACTGTTGTTTCTTGGCTATCCACATGTCGTGTTTTATAGTTGTCATTTAGCCTTTCAGCTCAAATGAAGAGGTAGAATAAAGGTTCTTCTCCAACTTCATTTAAAAAAAGCAAAAAAAAAAAAAACCCAAAAAACCCAAAACAACATCTCAAATGTCAGATCCTAAATGGTATCTTTTAAAAACAAGCCCCTTTAATTTTCAGAAATATTGCAAGTTTTCTTCACTGTCTGTGCTGGTAATAAAGACTTGAACATGAGACCATTGTTTTGGTTTCTGAGGTTTGCTTACGATGGAGGAGTTACAAGGAATAACTCGGGCAGATTCTTTGCAGAGATAAACTTCCCTTGTGTGTTACCTCATGGAATGGTAATGTCTCCACTAGTGGAATTGATAGCAAGAGCCCTCCACATCCTGTCCTTGAATTGGATCAGCTGTTACATTCCCTGCATTTTAGTTGGAGTTTCAAACTTCTGTATCCTTGGGTTTGTGTTGCCTTGGACACATGGGCTACTTCTGTAACATGCCAAGGGATAGCCCTATTGTCTGGTTTCATATCAGTTAAATCAGTTGCTCAAGGAAAGGGTTGCTGTTGTGCACCCATGTCCTCCAAACCTGTTAATGCCACTTGATGGTTTTGGACTTGAATTTGGAGAATCAACTACATTTTGGAAGCTCCTAATTTTGGTGTTGACTTTCTTTTTTCTGTGTTATTCCACATCCTCTGTTTTGGTTGTTGGTGGGTCATGATCATGAGGACTTGCCCAGGACTGCTAGGCAAACCACACTTCCCCCAAATGCTTTTTTTAACTTTAGAGTGGTAAGGGTGTCTTCTGACAAGGGAACAAGGTGGTTCTGAGGACCCTGAGGTAGGTTTCCAAGTTTTGCTTAAAGGCTGATCATCTTTGGGTGAGCCTTTAGTACTTACACATTCTTTACTTAGCTGGCACGAGGTCATATAATTTGGTGGTAGGCCCTTTAGCACCAAAACATAGTTTGAGTCCAAGTGTTAGAGTGCCTAGCTAGAGACTAGGGAGGTCAGAGTGGAGTATTTTAAAGTTGTAGTGTGAAAAGTTGCCCTTGCTGGGGGTGGCCAGGGGTAGTCCAGGCTACAGTGGAATGCAGATAAAAGCATTGAAGGGGGGCTGGTCAATGACCAAGGCTAGGGTTGTGAAAGGGTCACCTGTGTTAGGGCAGGCATGCTGTGAGAAGGCCAGGGAGAGAGATAAGCTTCGTCTCTGGGAGTCAAAACAAGCAGGCAAGGAACTGGTAGTGTCTATGCCAGCAATAGGGAGGGGAAGTGAATGGCCACTGTGACAGGCCTTTTGTTGGCGAGTTGTGAAAGGGCACCATGGGGGCACTTCAAGAATTAACACGGAAAAGGACGTGTTTTGTTTGATCAAGACAGGCCACACAGAAGGGTTGGATGCATCAAATCCTGACTGGGTCAGAATGTTGGCATTACTGTGGTGAGGCCTTTGATGGATTTTTGTGAAGGATACTGAGAAGACTGATGGGGAACTTTGTAATGGATGGATCATTGTAATGGACCTTAATTTCTCAGTCATTAAAAGTAAAATAGCCAGACACATAGGCATGTCTATAGTGAAATAGAGGAAGTACACAGAACTACCTAGAAAGTATCTCACTTGCTGGCCAAAACATTGTATCTAATCTGTGTTGCTTCTGATGTAACCTGCAATTTGCAATACATAGGAACAGGATAAATTATACTTGGAGCCTGTGGTCAGCCAAATCTGGAATAAGGAGAATCCATAAAGGAAAATAAAGGGGAGCTGCTGGGAAATCTTTCCAGAGGTCTACAGTATCTCTAGTCCAGTGATGTAGACTTCACTTGGATCTGATTAAATAAGACCAATTATAAAATATTGGGGGGGGTCCTTTTTAAACAGGAAGGAAAATTAAGGAAGAATTGGGTATTGGGTGCTAATAAGGAACTGTTCCTTTTACATAGAAATGATACAGTTCATTTTGTATAGATTGGATAGGTCTATGAATGTCTGGGATTGCTTTAGAATAGTCATCTCTCTTCCAAAAGAAAGTAGTGATAGCTGTGACAGCAGATCATTATTGGGTCTAGCTGGGTAATGGCCAACCATTTTTGTGTCTAAAAGTTTCTGTGAGAAAAAGCTTTTTAAAAAATAAAGCCATAGCTGGTGTGGGTACACACAGGCCTATAAATCCTAGCACTCAGGAGGCTGAGGGCAAGAGGATCGTGAATTTGAGGTCAGCCTGGGCTATGTAGGGAAACTCAAAAATATCTATTAAGAGCGGGGCATAGTGGCACATGCTTTTAATCCCAGCACCTGGGAGGCAGAGGCAGGGAATCTCTGTGAATTCAAGACCAACCTGGTCTGCATAGGGAATTCCAGGCCAGCTAGGGCTTCAGGGAGACCCTGTCTGAAAAAGACCAAAAAAGGTAAAGTATATTGAGCATTTAAAGTAGGGCCTTTTATATAGTTTAAGTTCCATTTAAGCCGGTATCTGTACATTTGTTATTTGGCCTTTAAAGTGCCTTCTCTTGCCTCAGCATCTAGGTTTAACTATTGGACTTAAAAGTTAGGTCAATGCTGGCCAACCTTGGTGCCATTGGAGAGGCCTTGTTATGGTTTGGAACCTAAATGTCCCCCCAAAGCTATGTGCTAATGGCTTTGTCCCCAGCTAGTGGTGCTGTTGAGTTGGGGGG